TACATACATACATACAGAGAGAGAGAGAGAGAGAGAGAGAGAGAGAGAGAGAGAGAGAGAGAGAGAGAGAGAGAGAGAGAGAATATACAATACAAATATATAATAAACAAAAAATCTGTGCGTCTCCTGGGGGCTAAGCCCCCCTTGTCCTTAAAACCTTGTGACTCCCCTGCCCACAAGGAACATGTATTTTTTTTTAAAGAAACGTAAATATCATAAGTAACTTGAACGAACATTTTATTTGCATTATGCCAATCTTGTTAAAAATACAAGCCGTTTTTGTTTCCAAGGTTCAACATCTATTTCAGTCATTACGGTAATGAACGGGATTTACGTCAGAGTCGCAGCTGATATAAGGTCTTGGTTCGTTCCGTGGAAGTGGGTTTCGGTCTTCCACGAGAGACGATGTTAGGAATGGATTCTGATATCTTTTAAATCATACATGTACATATTTTAGAACAGTTTTTATAGATGCAGTAGTAAAATGAGTCTTTTGTACAGTTTTCTGTGGGAACTCGGCGATGTAATGCGGACTAACTTGCCGTCGACTAAAGAAACAATGCAGGCCTAGCTAGCATGAACTGGTGTTAGCCAGAGGAGGCTAATCCTGGTCCAGCAGACTGAAGAGGCATTTAACTCTCGGCCGAAGCTGTGCTTTCAAGTCGTTGAAACGTCAGAATCCAGTAAGTTACTAATATTTGTGTGTTTTTGTTGTGTTTCATACACCTCTGCCAGCTACGGGTGTATTTTTGTCGTCACGTCGCTAAAGTCTTTAACTTGAGGCCATCCTGTATTCGGAGAGTAAAGCGTTAGCTTGTTTAGCATTAGCGAGTTAAGTAATCGTCTTTTACTTTGTTGGTTTCGTGTTAAAACGCTGCTTGTGTATATTTTTGAATGTCATTTTCCTAAAAGAAACTGACAGACCTATATGTAGCTTTTTTGTCATATTCTTTACAATTTGGGATAAAATCAAACTACGTTTAACTAAATATACCTCGAACAAATTATATTCTCTTATGTGTATCACTACATTTTGCTTGTTTGCTACAAAATTATTTATCTCAATTGTGGACATCCACTGGCACCTTTCGTGGTTTTATTTTATGTCATCCTAACTCTAATTCTCTGTCCGAGCACCAAGTTTCATAAAACTGAGACGAATCACTTTTGACGTTCACATTAGATCTTGTTATTAATGTCTAGATACARTATATTAGAATATAACTAAACATTTACCATTGTTTAATATTAAATCTAATGCATTCGTGTCCATTGCATTTTATTTTTTAAATTGATGTTTTGGTCGAAACGCAGTTTTGAAAATGCAAACATTTATTTTATTGATTTAAAATGTCAATTTTGTCTATTTTAAAGTCAAAAAAGCACTGAAGTATGACAAGGTAAATTTCTTTAACAAACATGTTGGGTTGGATTACCCTTAGATGGGATCTCAGATTAAAAATTTACTTGAATACAATTTTTTTTAAACTTGAACTTTAAAATTGTGCTCTCTTTTGTGCTCTCTTACATATTTTCATTGGGATAGGCTTTAGGGCCATGTTAAAGGAGTAAATGTGTTGTAAATAGTCCTCATATATTATGCTATTTATGGCATGATTCAAAGTTTCCCTGCAGAACATTGTTGTAACAGGATGTTCGGTTTTTTACACATCACGTGGCATTGGTTTTAATGTTGAACAATCAACATTTATTTTAAAAGTTGTTTATAGTTTGATGTAGAGGTCACCTGGTGTCATTTGTGCTGGTTTTTAGAAATGAGAGCAGCTGATGGCCAATAAACAAGTTTTTTTTTGTCTATGCAATATGTATTTTTAATTTATCAAAAGTATAACATATTTGCTTATCTTTAATAAACATGTATTTTACAATGCCTCAAAACTAACTTTGACACTTTAAATACATACATACAAACATACATACATACACACATACATACAAACACGCATACATACAAACACGCATACATACATACATACACACACACACACACACACACACACACACACAGTGGGGAGATCAAGTATTTGATACACTGTTGATTTTTCAGGTTTTCCCACTTGCAAAGCTTGTAGATGACTGTAATTTTTATCATAGGTACTCTTCAACGGTGAGTGATGGAATCTAAAACAAAAATCCAGAAAAATACAATGTATGATTTTTAAATAATTAATTTCCATTTTATTGTGTGAAATAAGTATTTGATCATCTRTCAACCAGTAAGAATTTTGGTTCTCACAGACATGTTAGTTCTTCTTTAAGAAGCCCTCCTGTTCTCCASTCATTACCTGTATTAACTGCACCTGTTTGAACTCGTTACCTGTATAAAAGACACCTGTCCACACAGTCAATCAATCAGACTCCAGCATCTCCACAATGCCCAASACCAGAGAGCTGTGTAAGGACATCAGGGATAAAATTGTAGACCTGCACAAGGCTGGGATGGGCTACAGGACAATAGGCAAGCAGCTTGGTGAGAAGGMAACAACAKTTGGTGCAATTATTAGAAAATGGAAGAAATACAAAATAATGGAAAATCTCCCTCGGTCTGGGGCGCCATGCAAGATCTCACCTCGTGGAGCATCATTGATCTTGAGGAAGGCGAGGAATGAGCCCAGAACTACACGGCAGGACCTGGTCAATGACCTGAATAGAGCTGGGACCACAGTCTCAAAGAAAACAATCAGTAACACTACGCCGTCAAGGATTAAAATCCTGCAGTGCACGCAAGGTGCCCTTCCTCAAGCCAACGCATGTCAAAGCCCGTCTGATGTTTGCAAATGACCATCTGAATGATCCAGAGGAGGAATGGGAGAAGGTCATGTGGTCTGATGAGACAAAAAGAGAACTTTTTGGTTTAAACTGCACTCGTCATGTTTGGAGGAAGAAGAATGATGAGTACAACCCCAAGAACACCATCCCAACCGTGAAGCATGGCGGTGGAAACATCATTCTTTGGGGATGCTTTTCTGCAAAGGGGACAGGACGACCGCACCATATTGTGGGAAGGATGGATGGGGCCRTGTATCGTGAGATTTTGGCCAACAACCTCCTTCCCTCAGTAAGAGCACTGAAGATGGGTCGTGGCTGGGTCTTCCAGCATRATAACGACCCAAAACACACAGCCAGGGCAACTAAAGAGTGGCTCCGTAGGAAACATCTTAAGGTCCTGGAGTGGCCTAGCCAGTCTCCAGACCTGAATCCAATAGAAAATCTTTGCAGGGAGCTTAAAGTTCGTGTGGCCCAGCGACAGCCTTGAAACCTGAAGGCTCTGGAGGAGATCTGTATGGAGGAGTGGGCCAAAATCCCTGCTGCAGTGTGTGCAAACCTGGTCAAGAACTACAGGAAACGTCTGATCTCTGTAATTGCAAACAAAGGTTTCTGTACCAAATATTACGTTTCATTTTTCTGGTGTATCAAATACTTATTTCACACAATAAAATGGAAATTAATTATTTAAAAATCATACATTGTATTTTTCTGGATTTTTGTTTTAGATTCCATCACTCACAGTTGAAGAGTACCTATGATAAAAATTACAGTCWTCTACAAGCTTTGCAAGTGGGAAAACCTGAAAAATCAACAGTGTATCAAATACTTGATCTCCCCACTGTACATACATACACAGTGAGTTGGCTCTAGCAGCAAAATGATTAGCTGATGAATATTTTTTTTAAGACAAATTATTGGCTGTTGGTTAAATTGAGCTACATTTAGTTTAATGTTTTTTTTGTTAATTATCTTTCTTTGTGTGTCTTTGCTTACAGCGATGAGTTCGCAGCTCCATGTCTTCTCTCCTCCCTCAGTCTCCTCCAGTGCCTTTTGTCGTGTGAAGAAGCTGAAGGTAGAGAGCAACGTTTGGGATGTATCAACTACAGAAGCTTACAGCTCCATAGCGGGCCAGTCGGCTTACGCCTTTACTCCTGCAATGGCTGTGCCTTCCTTTGCACCGTCACTTGTCTTCCCTTCTGCAGCATCTGGCTCCAGAGGTCAAGTGGTTGTGCGTGCAGCTGATAGCACTGGTAGTCTTCCTCGTGGGTCCAGTCGACGTATTGCCGAGCAGGCTGCATCGACTTCTTACCATCATGAGACGACCGCTGAGACGAAGACCCAAAGGCATGGGCAGAAGAGAAAGATCGAGGAAGCCAGTGAAGGCAGTGGGAGTGGATGTGGCAGTGTCCAGATCTTAGAGGAGCTCTCAGCACCTGCAGCAACTTACTCCACCCGTACTGGCGGCGGTGGAGGAGGAGGCACGGGCCAGTCTATACCTCACTCAGCTCCAACCACCAAGAGCAGCAGCTCCAATGGCGAGGGGGATTACCAGCTGGTGCAACATGAGATCCTCTGCTCCTTGTCCTCCAGCTATGAAGTCCTAGAGTTCTTAGGGAGGGGCACGTTTGGTCAAGTGGCCAAGTGTTGGAAGAGGGGTACCAATGAGATTGTGGCGATCAAGATTCTGAAAAACCATCCTTCGTATGCTCGTCAGGGCCAAATTGAGGTACCCAATGGTTCTTAAATTTATACTTCAAAGACACTTTAAACTGAAATTTTTAAGCTTGAAAATTTTAACATCCCCCACATTGACTTTGTGAAATATAATTAAGTTTTCAAGAGGCTTACAACAGAGCATGTGTTATCAAGCTGTCAGTTTTACCAAACCTATTAGTTTATTAAATAAATATGCAGGGCAAATGATACACATGAATGTTAGCATATTAAATGACTAATATAATTTTCATTATCCCAGTAAATGTTTCATTATCTGGCTGGTTAGGGATGTTAAATTTGTATGGCTCCGCTTCAAATTTCAATTATTAGAAATTTCAAACTGCGTAAACGCCTACGGTTGCTGCATGATTACTGTGCTTTGAAGTGGATTTTCAGTCCAATACAACACCGATGAAACGAGGTTTCCTGCTTTCTATGGAGTTGTTTTTGTTTCAACAGGTGGGCATCCTGAACCGACTGAGTGCAGAGAATGCAGACGACTATAATTTTGTTCGTTCGTATGAATGCTTCCAACACAAGGGCCACACCTGCCTGGTGTTCGAGATGCTGGAGCAGAATCTGTATGACTTTCTCAAGCACAGCAAGTTCAGCCCGCTTCCTCTACGACACATCAGACCCATCCTTCAGCAGGTTGGTGAAGGATCTCATTCTTGTTTGTGTTCTTGGTATTTCTGTCAGACTAATGCTTTTGTGATCGTATCTGTAGGTGGCTACAGCCTTGATGAAACTTAAGAGCCTGGGATTGATTCATGCAGACCTAAAACCTGAAAACATCATGCTAGTTGACCCCATCAGACAGCCCTACCGGGTGAAGGTTATTGACTTTGGCTCAGCAAGCCATGTGTCCAAAGCAGTTTGTTCAACATACTTACAGTCTCGCTACTACAGGTAAGTGGCTAAAAAAAAAMCAATTTGTTTTTGTGTTGTTGATTTTAATTGTCTAGTTCTGTTTCCTCAATAAAGCTGTGCTCATTTGTTGTCCAGGGCTCCAGAGATCATTTTGGGTCTGCCGTTCTGTGAGGCCATTGACATGTGGTCCTTGGGCTGTGTGATTGCTGAGCTGTTTTTGGGCTGGCCTCTCTACCCTGGAGCTTCAGAGTATGATCAGGTCAGTACAAATATTTGTTTTCCAAAAGTCTTATCTGATACTTTAGCGGGTAGGAAGGGGCGGGGGGATTTCAGAGAAAAACCTATGAGCAATTTAAAACAAGAGGAGGAAGTTTGTGGTGAAGCATCTTACCCAGTTCTTTAACACAAATCTTTTTTTTATTTTATTTTWTTTTTATGTCCAGATCCGTTACATTTCTCAGACTCAAGGTTTGCCAGCTGAGTACCTGCTGAGCGCCGGCACTAAGACCAGCCGTTTCTTCAACCGAGGCCCTGACTCCAGCTACCCTCTCTGGAGACTGAAGGTTAATATTGCAAATATTAAATCCAACAGAACATATGCAGTACTATTTAGATGTGCCGTATGAAATTGATGAAGGCAGCTTTAAGAGGCTGTTGGATTGATTCCATCATATTTACTTTTACCTTTTTTTTAAAAAACAAATCATCATTGCACTTAACTAAATATTTTTGTTTTGTTTTTCATCAGACCCCAGCAGAGCACGAAATGGAGATGGGCATCAAATCAAAGGAGGCCAGGAAGTACATCTTCAACTGTCTGGATGACATGATGCAGGTAACAATTGTACAAGCTAGAAAATTTTAGAGTAACACTTATTACTACACCTTATTTAGCCTTATTTAATCATTAATAAATGGTTGGTTAACCTTGAAAACAATAAACTAATGATTTGTATTTAAGAAACTATAAATTAACATGTTTATTAGTGCTTTTCCAATAAAGGCTAATTACTTCCAAAACTAACATACTCATTTATTCATGCTTAATAACTCATGAATTAACCCTCTGAGGTCTAAATGGACGTTTTTGACAAATTTTGAATTTACCCTTATATTTCCACCTTAAAAACTATTTACCTTGCCTTGTTTGGTATCATTATTTTCAGCACAACCTCAGCTTTATGACTTTTGAGTGTTTGTTTCATTTTAACAAACTGCATTATCACAGTGAACCAAAAATCACACAAAACAAAATC